GGGGACAGAGCTCAAAGTGCTCAAAAAGGTCTTTCTAAACACACTGGCACCACCATCCTATCTGAACATTAGCAATTATGAAAGGCTCCCAGCCCCATGTCCCTTTGTCCTCATGTCCCCAGGTCTTTGTGGAGTGCCCCAGTGTGGTCCCTTCAGAATTCTCCAGATGATCAGAGATGGTGTGGACACACAACCGTGCCTGGGAGCTGGCAAGCCTCCTTTCATCTTATTACAATGATACCCTTTCTGCTAAAATTGAAACTCGCAGTTGTGCCGCCCAGCGCACTCGAGGCTCCACCCACCACTCTCGTAGGCCCCGCCCACGCAGCGCACGGCCCCGCCCATCGCGTATCCAACCGGGCGGCCCCTCCAGGCCCCGCCCATCGCGCTTAAGGCTCCACCCACCACAAGATTTAAAGCGGCCAGGCCCTGGGGGCCTGCTCGCCAGAGGGACGCTACGGGTACCGTTAGGGCCCGGAGGGTCACGTGGTCAAGCAGACACACCCGGGGCTGAGGGTCGTTCCCAGGGTGGGGGCTGGGGTGCGCACCAAGACGCGGTCCCGACTGAGCATGCTCAGTCGAGGGTCTGCCCTCCGGCGCCGGCCAGGGGTGCACCCCCAGCGCCCAACGGAGGGAGGAGGCGGACAGGAGTCGTTATGGAAAATTACAAGGTGCCGAGTTGTCCCCTGGCGGGGAGGCTGGGGCGACGAGGGGCCCACGGTGTGGGACAAGCCCTGGACCTGGACCACCACCCCCGACCCCTACTGGTGTAACGGTCTAACCCCGGTGGAGGCTGCAAGGGAGGTCCCACCCCGGGAGGCAGTGTCTGCCTCTAGCTCATAGGCAGTGGTTCTCAACCTCCCGGATGCCGCGACCCTTTCATACAGTTCCTCGTGTTGTGGTGACCCCCAACCATAACATTATTTTCGTGGCTACTTCATCACTGTGATTTTGCTAGTTATGAATCATCATGTAAATATCTGATATGCAGGATGTATTTTCATTGTGACAAATTGAACATAATTAAAGCATCGTGATCAATCACAAAAACAATATGTAATTATATATGTGTTTTCCGATGGTCTTAGGCAACCCCTGTGAAAGGGTTGTTCGACCCCCAAAGGGGTCGCGACCCACAGGTTGAGAACCACTATCATAGGGGGCCTCCAAAGGTAACCTCCGGGAGCATGCCCTTTGCCTCTGGGCCTCAGTTTACCGCTGTCTAAAATGAAGGCTGGAACTAAGGACTGCAGCCGTGACTGCGCCTTCCGAGTGGAAGAAACGCCGGCCTTCTCACCCCTGTGGGGGTCCACGCTCAGGCCCATGGAGACAGGACCCCCTCCAACCAGAGTTCGTGATCAGGAGCCCCCAAGCCCCTAAAACCTCGTCAGTAGGCCCAGTAGGGGACTGGGGCCTTCTCCAGGGCCTGAGCAAAGGTGTAGCACCTGGAAAACTCACAAAGGGGGAGCTGCGGGATGCAGACGAATGAGTGTTTTAAACCAGTGGTTCTCAACCTTGGCTGCACACTAGAATCACCTGGGAATCTTTTTAAAATCCTGGTTTCTGGGCCCCATCCTCCGGAAATTCTGTTTCTTTGTTACTAATGCTGTGGCCCCACCCCATAACAAAGAGACAGAATTTCCGGAGGATGAGGCCCAGAAATCAGGGTTTTAAAAAGATTCCCAGGTGATTCTAATGTGCAGCCCAGGTTGAGAACCACTGGTTTAAATGCTTCTCCGCATGGTATGTCAACTTTACGAAACGTCAGGTTTGGTCTTGGCAAAAACGTCATTAACCTGACAATAATTTGTAAGTTAGATTTCTCTCACGGGAGGGGGGGGGGGGGGGAGTCAGCCAGTGGTGAAGCAGAGGGTTTCAGGGACCGGAGACTTTAAAAAAGCAAAGTTTTTCAGGTGCAAATTAGAATAGCGCCTTGATCTGGGACGCGGTGCGTCTTTCCACTTAATTTGCCGCCTGAGAGGACCTCAGCACGGGCGACACTGCAGCAGCACGAACTGCTCAGGACACTGTCCCTGTTGTTCCCTGCGCGGCACTCAGACCACGCACAGGGCTGCGTCACAGAATCCCACAACTTTTCCGGACCCCGAAAGTCCCTGGACCCAGGGTTCCACCCCCCACCTCTCTCCTCTGCATCCTGCCCCCCTTCCTCCATCCTCGGGCAGATGTGATTCCCTCAGCCAGCCTCACCCCATAACCCCCAAGCATGGCACGGCGGCCATCTCTCCGCAGGTCTGGCTCAATGCACAGACTCTGGGGTCAGACCCTGGAGTTCCAGTCTAACCCAGGGCACCCCCGCTATTAGTGCTGTGGCCTCGGGCAAGACCCTCGCTCCCTTGTGCCTCAGTTTCCTCCGTGTGAACGTGGAGATGGAAATAGTGGTGACCACAGGTAAAGCATTCAGCACAGTGCCAGGCGCAGGCACGGCCGTGACCACGACGGCACCAGTTGCTTTATTGTTTGGATGCCCAGTTTGGAGTCGGGTGCTGGGAGTGGGGATCACAGGGGCCTGGAGAGAGTGAACAGTCCCCGTTCTGGCTCCTGGGTGCCCGCTGATCCTCGCTGCAAGTTGGAGAAGAGGCAGAGGGTGGTAGAACGGGCTCCAGAATCAGCCCCAAAGAGATGGGGAGATGGGCTTGGGTTCCTGTATCTGCAGAGCAGGCGGGCGTGCCTGGAGGGCGGCTGGGAGGCGGAGGCCGCTGGGGGGGTTGGGGCTGGGCGCACTGTGGGAAGTGGAAAGCTGCGTGCGTTTCCTGAAAGCGCCTCTCCTTTTCGCTGGCAGATTTTGGATGAGCTGAATCCTGGGGCCTTGGGGGTGAACCTAGTGGTGAGGGAGAAAGAAACCAAAGTCAAGTTCGTGATAAAGCAGGTAAGAGGCCACGCCCCTGGCGGGGGGGAGGGGCAAACATCCGCTCATCACCCCCATGTTAGAGAAAGCTTCCTGATGCCACAGCTGGGCTCCTCTCGCCTGCAGGCGCCAGCAGATCCGGTCAGGGGTAGACGGATGTGGGGTGGCCCAGGCACCTCGAGCTTCCCCACACCTGTGACGCTCACCTTGATGGAGAAGAAATGTCATTTTTCCTCCGACAACAACCACAATCTTACCTACCACTTACTCAGTGAGGCATCATCTCATTTAATCTCCCGCCGACTCAGCAAAGCAGGAGCCAGGAGCGGGGCTCCGGGAGGCTGTAGGCTAGCCTGCTCACATAGCGCCCAGCAGCTCCAAGGCGGGCCCAGGGCAGGCGCACTCACTGGGGGCCACCAGTTTCACCAACAGGGAGCCAGGTGGGGGGCAGGGACTTGCCCAGCCTCACACAGGGCTGAGGGCAGGGCACCAGGCCCTTCCTCCACCTGTTCCCCAGGCTGGCATGGCAGGGCGGATGCAGACCCGAGGGGGCAGCCCTGTGGGTGTCCAAGCCACATTGTCCAAATGAACCAGGGTCCAGGGGAGAGAGCTGGCACCCCTTGGTAGTCCTGGGTGACGGCCGGCCCGGATACCCTGGGATCGGGACTGTCCCTGCGGGTGGAGAGCCCTCTGCTCTGCCAGGCCTCCCGCCTGTGGGCAGCACAGCAGCCGCCACTACCTGGGACGACCTGCCTTCTGGGCAATCAAGGAACTTTTAAAAAAATCAGTCTTTCTAAAAAAAAAAGGGCCCTAGCCCGTTTTGCTCAGTGGTTAGAATGTTGGACCATGGACTGAAGGGTCATGGGTTCAGTTCTGGTCAAGGGCATGTACCTCAATTGCAGGCTCAGTCCCGGCGGGTGGAGCACGTGCGGGAGGTAACCAGTCAATGTGTCTCTCTCACGTCGATGTTTCTCTCTCTCTCTCGCTCTCTCCCTCCCCTGCCCTGGTGCTGCGCTGTGACTGACCCGCCGCTCCCCTCCTGTGCCGAAGCACTTAGCTGTGCGCTCCGTGTAATCAACTCTGAGAAACAACCTGTGGTTCCGTTTCTGGAGGGTCCGTGGTTCCCTTGGGATAAATGCCTCGGGGTGGGATTTCTAGGACAAAAGATGTGACACTTTTAAGGCTTTCTGCCTGGTGGCCGAACTGACCGTGCCCAGCCCTGGAACAGGAGGGGGACAGGCAGGCGCGCCGGGCCGGGCAGCCGGGTCTGCACCGGCGCTGGGAGGAACCCTCTAACTGCATCTTCGTCTATGATCACCGGTCACAGAGATCTTCACCTTTTTGTTTGTTTGTTCTTAGTGCCTTATCGGTTGGTTTTACATTTATGAACTTGTTATTTTTTTTAATCTTTCTTGCTGACAGTATTACGTAGGGCCCCCTACAGAGGTCTTCCTTTGTATGTCTTGTGAGCGGACACACACCCCCTGGGCGAGGATCTGGTGGCAGACGAGATGGTTGCACCTGCCTGCCGTCTTTGCCATTTTTTGTGTTCACCCGGCCCCGCTGCAGTGATGAGGACGGTCTCCCCAGTTTGGATGAGGAATGACCTAGTAGGGCTGAGACTCTGCCAGTGGAGCAGAGCTGTGTGGCTCGGGCCAACACTTTATTTTCTTTTCTGCTGTCAAGATGGTTTGACGGGGACCCTCTAATGGCAGCTTAGGGGGGTGCTGCCTGCGCTCACCCTGCAGAAGGAGCCAGTAGCTTGCCTTTGTTCCAAGCATTTTTGGATCCCTGCCTTAGGAGCATCTCCAGGCGCCATATGGTGCCATATGGTGGGGCCTGAATCGCAGGCGCCTAGCACACCTGGTCAATTGATGGTAATGGTGGTAGTGGTGGTGGTGATGGTGGTGGTGATGATGATGGTGGTGGTGGTGGTGGTGAAGGTGGTGGTGGTGGTGGTATGTTGTGGCATGAGGCTCAGGTCATTAAGATTGAGGACCCTGATTTTCTGTGATGTTTCTTTGCCTGATGATCTCTGTCTAATCCCAGGATGGTGCTGGTGGTGATTATGTTGATGGTGATGGGGATGACGGTGATGATAGTGATGATGGTGGCGGTTATAATGGTAGTGGTCATGGTGATGTGGTGGTGGTGGTGGTTATAATGATAGTGATGTTGATGGTGGTGGTGATAATTATGGTGATGGGGATGATGGGATGATGGTGGTGGTGGTGGTGGTGATGGTGATGGCTTGCCACATGTTTACTGAGCTAGTCCTCTTATGCCTCTGCAGGTGGAATGCATTGATGATCATCATGCCAATGAGGCCCTGGATGAGGTAACTCTCTGGGTGGCGCCCCCTGGAGGACGTGGTGCAAACACCCTGTTCTGTGCCTCCTGTGGGGCCCTGGGTGGGGCGGGAGGATCAGTCCAGTTTTTGCCTCGTGCTGTGAAGCCAGAGCCCCCCCTCCCGCCCCCCATGGCGGGAGTCTGTCGCCAAGCACTCGTTTTTAAATCCAGGTGCAGACAAGATGGGCAGGGACGGGTCCAGGCATTCTGACAGGCAAAGAAAGCCGCCGGAAGCCCCCACACCCTCACAGCTTTCCACGTTCCCTCCCCTTCCGTGCCCCCCTGGGCGACCTGCTTTCACACCCAACCTTCCACGCGAGCCGTGCTCTCCTGGTGCTCAGTCGCTAAGGTAGCCATGTCTGCCGCCTGGTTGTCTTCCTTCTCAGAGCACTGCCAGCTGCGGACGGGGGCATGGGACCAGGAGGTGAGGTGGTGTGAGCACATCCGTGACCCCTCCCCGGGCCTCACGACCTTCTCCAGCCACCCCTGCCTGTGCTCTGCCCTCCACGCCCGGCCCTGTGCCTGCACCAGGTCACTCGGCCTTCATGTTCCCCGGGAGGCAGATGCCACTGTTACCGCCATTTTCAGGCGAAGCTAGGCAGCTCAGAGAGGTTGAGGCACTGCACCTCCGTCACACAGCACAGCCACCGGACCGTGTGGCTCCCGCCACCAACCAGCCACACGCTCTCCTGGTGCCCCGCCCTGCCCGGAGCTGGGGGCTTGCGTGTTTGCTGGGATATGGGACTGGGGAGCACAGATCGAGACCCAGGGCCCTGACCGGCTCCGCTCTGCTCTCTGCCGCAGCTGATGCCGCTGCTCAAGCTCCGGCACGCCCACATCTCCGTCTACCATGAGCTGTTCATCATCTGGAACGGCCAGGTGGGTCCACGGCGGCAGGACCGGGAACCCCGGCGTGTCCTGGCAGCGACTCCCCACGTGGCCACCCTGGGGCTCGCTGGCATCGTCTCAGGGGAGCCCCACAGGGAGGGGTCAGCCCCGCTCACAGAAGAAGCAGAGGCTGAAGCAGGTGCCCCCCAGTGTCCTGCCTAGGCCGTCACCCCGCAGGGCGGTGAGGCCGGTGCTGAGCTCATCCGGCGGCCCCAGGCTGAAGCCTGCGCCCCAAGGGGCAGTCTTGACTGTCACAGAGGAGCAGTAGGTGCCAGGGGCCAGTCCCTGCTCCCCCTCGCGCGGCGCCAGGCTGCACAGTGACCTCGGCCCGAGAAGGTCTGCAGGGCGGTGCTGTGCGCACTTCCCGGGCTCAGAGGCTGAGAGCGGCTGAGTGGGCACCAGTCGGTCGGGCAGCCCCGAGCCTGCGCCTCACCCTGTGGGCTGTGTGACCGGCTGCCAGGCCCCCCGCTGAGTCACCCCAGTCACCTCTCCACTGAGGGTCCCCATCTGGGGCTGCCAGCCAAGGGTGTGAGCAGGAGTGGAGGGCCCTCCTCACACCGGGCCCCGAGGAAAACCTGGGGAGAGGTCCTCACCCCCAAATATTTTCTGAGCACCCCTAATGCACTTAAGGAGACACAGGAAAGCCAGAGGACCGTTAACTGCGGGAGGGAAAGCTCCGTGGAGGAGGAGGTGGGTGTGAGCTGAGCCTGTGACGGGGCGTCCGCGTGTGCGGCGGCAGGAGGCCCGGGCGGCCTTCGGAAAAGTCCAAGCGTAGAGGGAGCCGAGGGCGGGGTGAGGCTGGAGGTGCAGCCGGAGCTGCTCATGGGGCCGCCTCCCTGCCCCCAGGAGGTGGTACCCTCACAGTCCCCGCGATGACGCCCCGTGCAGGGCGCCCGGCTTGCCTGGGCTTGAGTCAGAGCTGCGGCACCTGCCTGAGGGACCTCGTGTCCCCGCAGACCTCCTCTCTGTTCCTCTGCCTGGTGATGGACTACAGCAAGGGAAGCTTCCAGAAGGTCATTGAGAAGGCGAGGGAGAAAAGGGCCGCCATTGACTCGGAGGTAGGACAGACTGGGACGCCGGCCTGGGGCCCACCGGCCCCCGTGACGTCGCAGCCCCACGGCTACGGGCACAGGGGAGTCAGGGCCGCCGGGGTCGGGCATCCCTTTTATTTCACGTTTTGTGTTGGCCGTCCTGGCTCTTACGTTCACGCGTGGAGGTGGGTGCCCGCTGCCGGGTGCACAGGTCAGCGCTCAGCTGGGTGTGTTCACAAGGTGCACACGGCTGCCCAGCTCAGGCGCAGGTGACGCCGGGAACTGCAGAAGGTCCCGGTCGGTCAGGAGCCGTGGCCCACCCAGTGCCCAGCCCGGCGGTCCCTGCACGTGGGCGCAGGCGGCG